TAAAGTTCCTTTGTGCTTCCTTTCTGTCTAACTCCTCAATCCTAGAAGAAATTCTTTCTTGAGCCTCTTCAATTCTTCCAAAGTGATCCTTATTCCAATCTTTAATTTTCCCCTTCAGAGTTTTCAAAGTCCTCAAAAATCTGACCCCCCCCCTTTTTTTCTATTTCTTGGTCTTCCCTCTTCCCACCAATCTTCTACTCTTAATTTAAAAGAGGGATCTTCCAACCACATGTTCTCGAACCGGAAAGGGGAAGGACCACCAAAAAGCGCCTCTTGTCCTAAAGAAATAGGGCAATGGTCTGAAGTCACCCTAGGCAAAGCTTTAGATACGAGGTTTTCCCACAATTCGTCCCAATCTACTGTAAAGAAGAACCTGTCCAACTTGGAGCAAATTGTATTTGCTTGAAAATTTTGACCAGGTGAACTCGGCAAGTAACAAAGGTGGTTCTTTTAGCTCAAAAGATTCAATCAAGTTGCTAAATTTCCTCATGCTAAGGCCTGAGGGTAATGCTCTGATTTGGGTTGTTTGTTTCCATAGAGAACCTAAGAACATTGAAATCTCCCCCTAGGCACCAAAGCCCCTCCCACAATCCTCTAACTGCACTCAACTCCTCCCAGAATTGATCTCTTTCTCTGTAGGAATTGGGGCCATACACATTTGTTAGGACCCACTCCTTTCCATCATTTTCTCTTTTAAATTTTATAGAGACTGAGTAACTCCCAATGAGTTCCTCCAAGCAATCCATTTCCTCATTTTTCCACATCATTAGTAAGCCTCCTGAAGCTCCCCAAGAAGGTGCAAAAGCCCAATTTAAGCGTCTAGTTCCCCAAATGCTTTGAATCCACCTTTTGTCTATCTCTGAGAGCTTGGTTTCTTGGATTAGGACCACATCCGGCTTCTCTTTCTGTAATGCATTCCTAATCAGTCTCCTCTTCTTTGCATTCCCTAAACCCCGAACATTCTAGCTAGTGATCTTCGTTCTTTAACTTTTGAAGGACCCTAACAATCTCCTCCCTCCTATCTTGCTTCCCTTTTCCCCCCTCCTCTTACTGCCCCCCTTTTCATAAGAGATCTCAGTAGCCAATTTCTCCACTTCACTTTTCTTTTTCTTTTTAGTCTTCTTTCCTTTTGTCCTACCCTTTTTTGCTCTTGAATACACCTTAGTATTCTCAGGTTCAGATGGTGCCTCGTCTCCTTGAGTCAGTCCTTTCTCTTTTTCCAGTTTTGTGGTTTCCTGTTGTGGGCTACTGAAATCTTCTTCTCCCCATAGCTCTTTTTCCAGTTTTGTGGTTTCCTGTTGTGGGCTACTGAAATCTTCTGTCTAGTAAACCAGACAGGTTACTAACCTTTTGATTCTAAGATTCTCTTCTCAATAGACTCACCACTAACTTTTTGACTTGAAAGCTCTGCTACAGGCTTAGTGGCACAAGGACAGTTAGCAAACAATGGCATTTTGACATCAGCTGGATCTATAACCACAGAAAGAGGACAAGATGAAGACCCAGGGTTAAGATCACGAACAAGAGAGGAAACATACTCAATGGAAAAAACAGGAATTGAAGAGAAAGGGGAATTAGAAGTTCCCTGTTCCATTCTATCGTAAGCATCCCTTGACTCCGACCTTTCTTGATTGTCTTCCTCTTGAGAAATCACCTTGACAGCATCCTATTTTTGTCCCTCCTGTGCACCTCCACTTAATACAAGGGTGGTACTAAAGTTCCCAAGACTTTTATTCTGATTTTGGTCTTGCACGGTTTGCATAGCAATGTTTCCTTCTACTTGCAGTAGCATCGGCTCACAAAGAGGGGTGGGCTCTTCTCTCTCAGCTTCCTTTAGCTCCACTGTTCTTTCCACAGATTGTTCCTCAAACACAATCTCAGTTCCCAAGCAATCTTCATCGAAAAAATTGCAAGCTTTTATGGAATCTATGCTTTCAATACTTGAGGGTTAGTTTATCTCTGCAAACTCTTCTTTTTTTCAAACTCTAGTCCTTGACAGTCCTCTCAGTCACTGTCCCCATCCAAATCTTCTTTGGGTTCTCTACAATACCTTGGGTTTGGTTTATCAGGTGTGGTAGAGTTCCTGATTGAACCAGTCTCCACCCAAGAGCTCCATGATTGAGCTTTGAAATTTTACCACCAATGTTTGGGCAGGGTTCCTTAGATCCTTGTTGCTTCGAAGAAGGTTTTGTTGGGGACGATGATAGACCCATGTTACTGTCCCCAAAAGGAACCGAGTGGGTCACGTGATCACTTAAGTGATCCTCGGATTTGGTCGACCCCGGTTCAGCAATATGTTTGTTCAAAGCCCCTGGCTTGCCTGCTTCATCTTTATTTCTAACATTCCCCAGTTCAATCAAAGGAGCTTTGGGTTCAACTAACCATTTTCCTTTTTCCCATGTGGGGGGGTGGTTCCTTGCTGCATACACCATGGTGATCTGACACTATCTCTGCATACGATTTAAACCCAACCCTACGATCAGGCTTTGATGGTCCAGCTTGTGTGGAGAAATTAGTAAGTTGCATTCTTCCTTTTTTTAATTTAGACGGTTGGCCTTCTCCTGTATTCAACCATTCACTTGCCTCCGCCAACCAGGCTTTTCCACCTAAGCCACTCAATGCCAAGTCATCATCTTCTCCCTCTGCTTCCTTCCAGAGCTCAGACTCCATGGCTGTAAGAATCCAAGCTTCATAGACTGTTCCATCTACTGTAACCTCAACCATTCGAGGGACGTTTTCTGGCTTGACCCCACCAGCTTGAACGAAGCTGCTCAAAGGTTTGATCAGTTTAACTCTTCGAGCACACCACCACACAACTGGGCTATTTTCTTAAAGTTCGAGACAGACTAGAGATGGAATGGCAACCCAACGATTTTCACCCTGGGATTTTCTGCTAATGCAACTGAGTTGGTAGTAGGGCTCCATCTTTGAACACTCACAACTCCTTGATCGGATTGGATTTGGTAGTAGGGCTCTATCTTTGCACATAGGAATGGCCCCAGGGGGAAGGCAAATTCAGGGATCCTTGTCCCCATAGGGAGGGGGATGGAGCTGGGATTTTCAGCCACACTAGGGTGGGAACGGGGTGTGGTTCATGTGTAGGGGTGTCAACGGTATTCGAAAATCCGATTTCGAATTCGAGATTCAACATAACTGAATCGAATTCGAATAATTCAAATATATAATCAGTTCAAATCGGATATCCTATTCATATCAAATAGCTAATTGGGTTCGAATTTGGATATGAGCTGATTCAATTCGATAAATATCCAAATTCGATCGTTTATTTAATTCTTACATATAATGTGTAAAATATTTAAATGCTTTATATAATTTATATATATAATAATTAAATTGTATAAATAATTTATAAATTTATATACTTTAAATAAATAAAATATTCATTTTAATTACCTAAAATAATTAATTGGTCAAATTCGAATCGAATCGAACATTCAAATATTTAATCGAATTCGAATTTGAATATTAGTTTTCAATAACCGCCGGATATCGAATCAAATTCGGATATTGGATTTTTTTAATTGGATTCGAATTCAGATATTGCCTGATCCGATCCGTTTACACCCCTATTTATCTATTTGGGGTCGGGGAGAAGGTATACAAAAATGGTCCCGCCCGCCACCCCGCTCCATTGCTATTCCTAGGTCTGTGGAGGCTAGCTCATTAACATCAATGCATGTAAAGTTGAAGTGGATCCCAAGGAGCTAAACTCGATGACTGATGGGTTAGCTTTACCTTTGGAGTTTTTGAGAAGAGCTTTTCCACTTTTGAATTTGTTGAGAGAGAGAGAGAGAAGTTATTGTCTCATCTGTGTTCCATGTGTATACCACTGAACATTGGAACCCAGATAGAACATGAAATTCCAGATTCATATAATAGCCAACCATGCCCATCATCTTCGCATATTGACCAAGAGAGGAAAAAAAAAAACTTAGGCTATTGGAAGTCAAACAAGGAACAAATAAGATGTCTATCGTCCTCTTCACTAAATCCTAGAGCCATTTGCATCATTCTAAGTTTCTAACATCTAGTAAGATGCTATTTTTGGAAAAGATCAGTGTTAGTGCCTTGAAGAAAAAGAAGAGCCTTAACCATCAGCAAAAAAACCAGAAAATCACAAGCAGCATGGTATCAATAGAGATAAACTCTATATGAGAGAGAGAGAGAGGATCCTATGCAGAGTTTAAAAGATATAAACAAGATCTTCTCGGAAAAGAGACCATCAGAGTGGCAAGGTTAATTCATCAAGGCATAACGTACAAGGTTATCATCTCATTAAGATAGTGCATCAACCTCCATGGGTCAGACCCAGAGGCTATATCACCAAGCACCAAAACAAGGGACTCAAACCTTATGCAATTCCAGAAATAATAAGCAAAGCAACCACCTTAGCTTTAACTGCAATGGTATATGCATATGTATTTGTATCTGTATGTGTATCAAAATTCTGAAAACTACATCAGTTGGTTGAACCATGAAAACCAGGAAAAATCCCCCTTTCAGTTCAATACGTGGTTCAATTTCTTAAAAAAATAAAAAAGTCAAAACTGTATGTGACCGTGTGAACAAAGTCATCATGCAAACCAATTTAAAGTATGTTAACAAACATGAAACCATAGACAGGAATAAAAAGCAGGTGGAGAGAAGAGAAGGAAGAAAAAATGGGCACATGGACTTGATGCTACAAGAGAAAATGAACCAGAAAAAAGATGAATTTGGTTATACAATGGGTGGGGAGGGGGCAAATGCATTGGCTGATTCTTTAGCTAAGAAAGGGGTAATTAGGGATCAGTTGTATTGGGTGAAATTGTAATTTTTGTGCTGTTTTTTATTCAAGAGTGAAGCTGCACCTTGCGCCTCCTCCTTGGGATGCTTGTAACAGTTGCTTATCCTTATTGATTTCAATGAAATTTTAATGGACTTGTCAAAAAAAAATAACATAAATGCATCAAAGAACCATAACAAAGCTGAAATCATACCTCATCAATTAGAGGGAAGCATCTTGCAAGTAAACCCTTCCTGGATGAGCTGGTTAATTGCATCCCTGAACTTATAGTAGTCATCATCTGTGTTGTACACCTGATGAGAAATCCGGGCATAACCTGTTATACAATTATCTTTGTTCTGCGCTTCAAGTTCCCCCTCTTCTGGCACCCGATAATATATTGGAACTTCAATACCAAAACTCTCCCGAAGATGCTTCCTCAGCTTCAAAGCATCCACTTCACTTGATATTTCTAAACTAGCAGGAAATCCAACCATGACCATGCTGGAACACATGTCTGGGGGTGAACCAAGGAGCGTCCCCCAGGCCTCCGAGAGCATTTCCCCCATCTTAATAACAATTTCATGATTTCTTTTCCTAATTCCTTCAATACCACCTTCAAACCTATTAACAAAATCCAAGGCAGAAGGAACAACAAGCTGCGAGCTATAATCCCTCGTCCCAATCCAAGCACTTTCTATAGGCAACCCGTTACCGTACTCATGGGAAACAACGGGATGATGCAAATCAGAAACTTTGGACGATCTTCTACAGTACAGAAATGCAACTGAAGGCGGACAGAAAAACCATTTGTGCAAATTACTAGTGTAAAAATCAGCCCCAATATCTTTCATGTCAACCTCGACACTACCTATCGCATGAGCAGCATCTACAAACACCTGATCAACACCTTCCTCCCTACAGAGCTTAACCAACTCCTTGACAGGAATTACCACACACGGCATCGAGGTGATATGATCGATTACAGCTAACCTAACTTTCCTACCATTAGATTTCCCCTTCTCCAAAGCTTTTCTAAACTCAACGATAATTTCCTCATTAGATTTGACGGGAAAAGGCAGGTTGACTTCAATTACGTACCCGCCAGCACGAGAAACGTAAGCCTGGATGGATTTCTTGACGGCACCGTATGCATAGTGAAGCATCACGGCCGCGTCTCCTTTCTGAAACTTCCCTTCAGCGAAGGACCAACCAATCTGCTGGAGAACAATCGCCGCAGCGGTGGTGGCGTTGTCGACAATGGTCACCTCTTCGACGTCATCCGCATTTACCAGATCTTTGATAACTTTTCTGGATTCAAGAATCCCTTTCTGGAGCTGATTGAAGTAGAAATCATCAGGTTGGCGAAGAAACCGAAGCTGCCACTCTTTCTGAGCGGCGATGACATAGGCGGGACAACTGCCAAAGCTGCCATTGTTGATCCGAGCGACTCCAGGATCGTGATGCGCGAATTCTTCGCGGATTTCGGAGTCGGAGATGAAGGGGGAAAGCTTTATCTTCTTAGAAACGTGATTGTTGTTGTCGTCGTGAGTAGAATCCCCATTTTCTTTGAAGTCCTGATCGTGAGAATCCATGGCCGGAGAGAGTTTTTAGTGTTTGCAGAACAACCGAACAACCATGATTAGGGTTAGGGTTAGGGTTGGTTTTCGTTTTAATAGTTGCGGTGCAGCCAAAAGTTTCTTCCTTTAGTTGAGGATCAGCCCAAGCGATGAAATAAGATTTTCAGTTCTTTAGAGGTTTCTGTGAACTGTGAAGGCGAGGAGAGAGAGAAAGAGAGCAAACGAGCCTTTTCCGTTGCCGGAAAAGGGGACTGATGACTGTAATCCGCACCGGTGCGCAATGCGCAACACTGTCTAGCCGTTAGACTGTGGCACTGTGCGGAGGTAGGCTTTGACCCCAACCTGATCAAACCGGACCCTAACTCTTGTCTTTTACCTTTAGTGAATAAAATAATTAAATATTTAAAGATATAATAATAAACTCAATTTCATTTTTCAACAAAACAAATATATATATATATATATTGAAGCTGACAACCTCTAGTTGATAACTTTTACAAATGCATGCAAAATATAAGGTTTTACATTCTACACATTCTAAATATGAATGTATATCCAAAATAAGCATGTATTTATTTACACAAAAAAACTGACATTGCATGTATTAAACAAGACATTTGAGACCAAATTTTAGTGTTCTTTTGGTAGATAGAAGCGAAGATTTCAGTTGAGACTTTTGAGAGAATTTAGGGGTGTTCTCCTTAATTATTTTTCTTTTTCTCAATCGTTTTTCTTGTTACCGGTTCCAAAAATTAAATGAAGTTATGTAGTTTGTAAATAAATTGGTTCTTAAAATAAATACACAAAACATGTTTTTCGTGATGTATGTTTTTTTGTCTCTAAAAAATAAAAAATATATTTTCTTGAATTCTTGGTTTAAATAACATGTTTTCATTCTTTTTTTTCTTTTATAGATGAGAGCATGTTTTTATATGGTTATTTAATATCATGTTCCATAAGTTATATAATTTTTATGCTACATTTTTTTTTTGTCTTAGAAACTAGAAAGCATTATTTTGGTGGTTTTAAAAACATGTATTTTTTTTTTACTAAAACTAACTTGCTTTTAATTTTCAAAAACCGCAATTGAAGATTTTTTTTTTGGTTGATGTGACAATTTAAAAATGGGAAAATTCATAATCAATACCCTGAACTTTAGAGGTTGTGTCAAGTCGGTCCCCAAACTTCGAAACGTGTCTATGTAGTATCCCAAACTTTCAGAATGTGTCTAATAAGTCCTTGACGTTAATAGTTCGCCAATTCTCTGTATCATGTAATGACATGTGCCACTTAAAACTTTTAAAATATCAAAACTATCCTTGAAAAAAGACATTGTTCATTGTTTTCTACCTTGAGATTGAAGAGTTGTGCCATTGCTACAACATTGTCAGGAATTGACAGTGGTGCTAAGAACAAATTTGAACAAATCAATGACGGTGTCGAGAACTAACCAAGTTTCCGATGATGGCTGAAACTACCATTACTATGATTGGATGTAATGAAGTGCGTAGTAAACGGGTTGGCAAGTTGGGACCAGCTTTTGATGGAGTCCGGCACGAGGTTCTGATACCAGGTTCGGACTCCCCCCTAAACGTAGTAGAAAAGGCCACACACATGCAGAACTCATTAGCCCCAGCTAGGTGCATCTGAGACTGGAAAGAATCCACATGGTCATTGGGGTCGAATGACCCGTCATATTTGTCTAATGGGGGCACCTTGAAATCTTTCGGCATCGGAGTTGCCAAGAGCTTGGGAGACAGTGGGGATGAGCGGCAATGTAGTGGAGGCGCACTCTTCGTAGCCACCGAGCTCACTTCTTCCTTTTATTTGGCTTGCTCTGCTTGCTAGCCTGGCTTCGCCAGCGGGCTGTTCCTGGCCGAGGGGCGGTGTGTCTTGTGACGTTGTCGTTGTTGCTTCTTCACCGGCTCGGCGTTGGTGCTGCTGACTTCAATCTAGTCTAGTACTTCGGCATTATCGCAGGGTGGACTTTGGTTCCTTCTCGCTAGGTTCTCCTAGTTGTGAGGTTTGTATTGGCTATCACGAGGGACGGGAGGGTCCTGCCTTGAGTTCGCTCCTCGAACTCCAAGCTGGTTATTATCTCCTTGTGAGCCATCATTTTCCTGCTGGGAGAGCCAAGGTGGATTGGTCCTGTTGAGCTGACTATCCCCGGACTTGCTCCTAAAATTTCCTTGCGAGACTGGAGGAATGTGCTGACCATTTCTCCTTCCACAGGGCGAGACTTGACCCCTGGGAGGAATTGATACTTGCGAGGTCCCCTCACCCCGATGAGGGGATCGGTTGACGTTCTGGCTGGTTCCAAGTCAAGTCGGGTTTTGGCCCTAGCGCAGTCCTGTGTGCCGAGGTGGAACCGAATGCTGCTATAGTGGTGGGAACTGGTGCTAATACTGCTGGTACAGATAGTACTGCTGAAATTGTTGGACCTACTGCATCTGGATTTGTATTGTCCGAATGCACTAGACGAGGTCATGGAATTGGGAGTGCCTGATCCTAGGAGGGACCACAGATGGCTCGAAGAAGGTCATGCCCACTGGGGGAAGCGGGACGCTCACTTGCGTAGCACCCTGCGGCACGAACAGTGACGGGACTCCGAACACGGTAAGAGGAATAGTGAACTGGCCAATGCATACCATAGGGCCTTGGGGGAAGGTTGATTGTTGATCCTGCCCCTGGTAACGTTCATTTTGATGCTTTTTCCAGTGTTGCTGGAAGAGTCCATTGGGATAGATAAAACTGCAACTGAGGTTGGGATGACCTTTCGATCGGTTCCCACAGACGACACCAATTGATGGTGCGTGATCTAAATACTCCTAGCTGGAAGACACCCCGAACTCTGGTTGGGCGGCGAGCTGGACCGATATGCAGAATAGTAGATCAAAGAATCTAGGGTAGCTGACCCGGCAAGGTCGCTCTGATGCTTAAGTCAGTACTTTTACTATAAATGCGAGTTGAATCTTGAGTGCTTGAATGCTAGTGAGTAAAATAATTACACGTACCTTTGCCTTAAAATTTCATGTCCTTATATAATGGAGTAGCCATGGGCCTTACGAAAGAGCTTTGGGATCTCTAGGTTGAGCAGATAAGGTTTGTTTCGTTTTTGAAGGAGAGCAATATGTTGATAAGGTTTATCGTTTACCCCCGATTCAGGCGGAGCTAGGACGAGCCTCATCGTGATCTCGAGAAATTCGGGGTTTGTTGGGGAGGCCTTTGGAGTCGGTTATGTAGCGTTTCGGCTCATTAGCTCTGAGCTGGCGCTTCGATTCTTTATTCCCGAATTGTATTGGGTGTCGAGGTGTCTCCACGCCGAGGTGGTTTTTTATTGACGAGGTGACTGGATACCCGAGCTCCGAATGTTGCGAAATTGGTTCGTTTGGCTAAATTGTCACCCTTAGAGCAGGTTGCGTCTACGTATTCCCTTCTTACTAGGTCATGCCAAATCACCCCTCATCAGAAACAAATAGTGCAATCGATTGATAAAGAGCAAGAAGTGGCTTCTTAACAACGAGAAGTAGAAACAAAAGTGAAAACAAAAATCCTAATCCTTCAGAAGTCATTCGAAATCCAGATATGGGTTTATTAGAATTGATAAATTCCATTAACTGAGAGCAGGAATATTACCCACAGTACGATGATTTCAAAGTTCTTCCCTTCCTTGCAATCAACATAATCAACCCACACAATCATTTAGCGAGCTAAATACATATATAAAATATGTGCCAAATTAATCAAGAAAATTTTAGACCTGAGTTGCACATAGAAAAGCAAGATGACGGCTCACAAGGGAGGTTCAAGGAGATCGAAGATCGGAGATAAATCTGGTTTCAAAGTTCTTTCTCAGTAAGCTTTGTTAAGAAACGCAAGGGAGGTTCAAGGAGATCGGAGATCAGATCAGGGATGTAGAGATAGATTTTGGTTTTCAATGTGTTTAAGAAGATGGAAAATTTGTGAAACGAGAATTCTAGGGTTTCAACAAACCCTTCCTCTTCTTCTTCTCTTCACCCCTACAACCCATGGCATCATGGCATAATCGGTGACAAAAAAGAGGGAGACGGAGAGGAGGGATCCCCCTGCCTGAAAAAACCCTTCCTCTTCTTCTTCTCTTCACCCCTGCAACCCCTGAACGCATGGCATGGTTCTGGTAGTGTGCCTGAGAGCCAAGGTCTGAACCTCAAATTCTCAATCAAAGCTATGGCGGTGGGAGAGGATGGGTACATTGCACAAAGCTGAGAGCTGAGGTCTACACAAATTTTTGTACTCAAGAACCAGTGTGAAAGAGCAGCAACGTCTCCTTCCCTCCATTTCATATCTGTTAATTGTCTTCGGTGAACAAAGATCTACCATTGACGAAGGGCTTATTCATATATACTGAATGCCCGGAGACTGAGCACTAATTGTTGCAAGTAACGGCAGTCACCAAAACTTCCGAATAATAAGGATATTTTAGGAATTTTAAAATAATTATCACTTACGTGATGTCATATGTAAACGAAGTATGATAAAAAATTAAGGACAAATGAGGTTTTAGACAATTGTTAGAAAATTTAAATATATCGCAAGACAATATCTAAACTATAAGAATACAGTTTGGCAATTTCGTGATCAACAGAGATACTTTAAGAGATTTAACCTTTTTTTTTTTTTGAAAAATCATCTAACTCACCATTAATCTTAACTTAACAAAGTCATTTAAAATCAACAAATTTTAGTGAATGCTTAGATTACAATCATGTTAGTTTAAAGGAGTTGGACTTAAATATATATTTAGGGTAAAATACTTAAACATACCCTAATGTTTTAAAATAGACTTAGATATGCCTTATAGGCTGACGCCACAAGACTTAAACATACCCTCCATAAAAAAAAGTCACATATAATCCTATTTTGCCCTCATGGTGATTCCAAATTCATCTTTAAAATATACCACACGAGTTCTTGCGAGAAGGAATTGACTTTCTGCTCTCTTCAGCTTAAACAACCCAAAGTTGTTAGAGTAATCCTTGGAAAAAGCAATTGTTTCTAGAGTAAAGGTAATGGTGATGACTAATAAGTTTTTCTTCAACACAACACCTGACAAGTGTCAACATAACTTTGTTAAAATTTGAAAGGTAAAAGAGTAAGGAGGTATGTTTAAGTCCTCTTGAAAAGCCTAGGGTATATTTAAGTCAATTAATGAAAATTTAGGGTGTGTTCAAGTCTTTTACCAATATATTTATTGAAACTAAAATACCAAAGTGACACATTGAAAGTTCATGCCAAGGTGAAACTACCCCAAACCTATTTGCAATTTAATCTAAATTATATTAATCAATTTGGTTTTAAATGAAGGAAAAATCTAGTAT